GGGGGGGGGGGGGCCCTGCAGCCACCTGACCCTCCCCCTGCACAAGAACCTACGCCCTGAGGCAGGGATAAGGCTTCCTGTTTTGTACCTGAGGAGGAGGTTATGCGCCTCAGTCAGATTTTGTCACCTGGAAAGGTTCCAATGTCTACTTTAAGCTCATAACTACACAGAACAAGTTTTTAATAAAAGAAAAGGAAGTTCTGGAACAACTGGAATTCTGGCCCTGGTCTGAGGATTGATTAACTGAACTCACAGAGCTGACCTGGATAGGCGGCTTGTTTCATCAGAACAAATTAAAGTTCAGGCTCCACCCACAACTCCCTGCAGCATTCTCAAGTGCAATTAATGAACAAACTGAGTAACAAGCGTAAGTCCAGCTTGCTGCAGGGCCAAGGTCAGACTCGACATCCAGCGCCTCCCCTGGCCGCCCACCAGGGGTGGAGGCCAGGATGCTCAGCAGGTCCTCAGCTCATGTGCAGGAGCCTCAGTCTTGGCCACACCTGCACAAGAAGCGAGCGGCCACCACATCGCAATGTCCCAGAGTCAGCACCACAATACTTTCAGGGCTGATGGGAACAATAAAAAAATGATTTTTCAACAAAAGGAGGCTTGGCATTCAGGTCATAGCCCTGGTTCTGGGCAGCCCGCACCTGTAGACACCCCCATGTCTGTCCTGTCTGCCTTTGCTTCCCCTCGACGGGCACTTTGGCTCTCAGAGCCTCTTGCCTTCAGGTAGAACCAACCCACAGGCCAGACTCCAAAGCCCTGCCAGGAAAGCCCAGCTCCGGGTGCAGCAAGCGTGCCTTCTGAACCCCAACTTCCGACAGCTTGCCTCTCACACAAGACAGGAACCAGATGGCTGGCGGCCTTTTGCTGGTGGGCTGTTCCACATTACCAGAGAGAGCTATCATTTCCTTGCCCTGTGGTCTTTACATAAAAGGTTCCCCAGAGAGAGCTACCATTTCAGTGACCTCCCAGCTCACACTGAGAGGTCAGCAAGCTGGTGATGCCACTTACGAACTTGAGCATGTTCCAGTCGAACACATAGTCATAGGAGAACCCCTGGCGGTGGAATAGGTTTCTGAAAAGCTGCCTCAGGTACGAGTAGTCAGGCTTGTCATCAAAACGCAAGGAACGGCAGAAATTCAGGTATGTGGCAAACTCGGCTGTAAAACAACAAGAAACTCAGAGCTAACCAGCAACATCCCCAACTGGTAGCCAGCATGCAACAGGTAACATCACTGTGTACCACCCATGCTCCACACTTGGGGGCAAAATAGGGACTGAAACACCAGCCACACTATGAAGAACTGAGGAGTTGGGGAAAGTTTAAGAAAATGCAGCATCACCCTGGCCGGGTGGCTCAGTTGCTGAGGTGTCGTCTTGGGCACCAAAAGGTTGTTGGTTCGATTCCGTCAGGGCAGATGCCCGGGCTGCGAGCTTGATCCTCAGTAGGGGGCATGCAGGAGGCAGCCGATCCATGTTTCTCTCTCTCCCTCTCCCTTCCTCTCTCTCTCTAAAAATCAGTAAAAAAATCTTCTAAAAAAAGAAAGACAATGCAGTATCACAGAGCAGTCTGGCCTCACGGGGCACCTGTCCAAGGGGAGCCCCGAGGACACTCACATGGGTAGCTTTTGCACAGCACTTCGATGGGAGTGGACATCTTCTTCTCACTGATGCGCTCATACTTCTGCCTCTTGGTGGCAGCCTTCAGGCCCTGCCAGGGCAGGGAGCCCAGGTTGAAGTACATGAGCACGTAGCCTAGAGACTCCAGGTCATCCCTTCGGGATTGTTCTGGAAACAGAAGGGAACCAGGTCCAACCCAGCCCACGCCAGCAGCAAGCACACACTTACTGTGGAAATGGACTCTAAAGACCACAGGAAAGTACACTTGGATCCCTTCCTTCTACCAGAAGCTCCCTGGACGTGCTGTTAGAGAACTGTGACACCCAGGTGAGCCACACCATGTCACAGCTGCCAGAAAGCCAGCCCCGACCTCACAGAACCCCATCTCCATAGTCCTTCTGCCACCTCTGCCACCCCAAGTACTGACCCTGGTCCCCCGGGGCTGCCTTCCCTGGGCTAAGCCAGATGTGCCCAGGCAGCCTGGGCCAGGGCCAGGGCTCACCGATTCCAAGGTGCGTGTTGATGGAGGCGTACCGCGCCGTCCCGGTGAGGTTCTTGTTCTCACGGTAGGGGATGTGCTGGTGGGTGCGGGCGTCTCGGTACTTTTTGGCTAGGCCAAAGTCGATGATGTAGACCAGGTTCCCCTTCTTCCCCAGCCCCATGAGGAAGTTGTCGGGCTTCACGTCACGGTGGATGAAGTTCTTGGAGTGAATGTACTCGATCCTACTGATCTGCAGGCAGAGCGGCAGGGTGGAGTCAGCCTGACAAGCGCCTGGAGGCGGCTCCTGCCCAGCAGCCAGGGCCCTGCTGGAGCTGTGCGTCTGCACCCTCAGCCAAAGCAGCTGCTCAGTTATTGGGACGGAACACAGAACCCACTATCCTCACCCCATGCCTGGCATTTCCCTCTCACGGGCTCTCCCGGGGGACAGACAGCAGCTGCACCAGCAGTCCCAACTGCCAGTCAGGCCTCCCATGAGTGTACTGTGCCTTGGCCACAGTGGCTCTCCAAACCCAACCTCCCATGTCACTACCTTGTGGCAAAGCTTAATGAACACCACTTCCACCTTGTGCACACCACGTGGACAGAGAGGTGCCGCGAGTCAGACCCATCGCTTCAGAACAACAAACTCTTACCATCTGATCGGCCAGCAGCAGGACAGTCTTGAGACTGAACTTCCTCGAGCAGAAGTTGAAGAGGTCTTCCAGGCTTGGTCCCAACAGCTCCATCACCATGACGTTGTAGTCCCCCTCTGCCCCACACCACCGGATGGTGGGGATACCCACTGGAAGAGATAGGGTGTTTCAGGGAGGCTGGAGATGGGGTCAGAAGACCTTGACTCACACTGTGACTCCCTGAAAAGGGTCAGGTGGGCAGCAGTCGCAGGGACACAAGGCAAGAATATGATGCCTACTTTGTGTGTGGGTGTAGATTCAGGACAGAGGGGTAGGGAAGAGAGGGGTGCAGGCTGAAGCAGCGCCCAGAGTCCCCCGCAATTGACATCCTCCGTTAGGGTGCCTTGCTTGTCATCATTCATGAACCAACAGCTTGGGAGACACATAAAAGACTCAACTCTAACTTTTAGGGGAACACTGCAGCGTGCAAGGTGAAAACCCACAGTGGGTTCACGCAGACTTGACACTGTGAGCTGAAGGCAGGTGATCTGTAGAAACTGCTGACAGCCAATGGAGCTGCAGTCAGTGTGGGACTTCAAGCCACAGCCATTTCTGAAACCAGAGGCCCCAGGAGAGGAGAGAGAAGGGAGGGATAGACGTCACACCAAAGAAACAGCTGGACGCCATCATTTAAACCCATACGCCCAAGGAGCTCCATGAACCCCAAGGACGAGCCAATGAAGACCTTCACACTACTGCCCCCGACAGCCAAGGTGCTCACCACCAGGGATGGGAACATCTTCAAAGCAGCAGAGGAGAGACACATCACATACCGAGGTACAAAGACAAGGGGGCCGCAGCTTCTCATCAGAACAGGTGGAGGCCCAGCCACCTTCAAGTGCTGAGGAAGACTGGCATTCTGCGCAAGCATAGGCTGCACTCCCCAGTCAAGACAAAACAGGACGTTCCCGACACAGCAAGGTGCAGAATCAAGCACCAGAAGACTGCTCTGCTCGCCTGCTCCTCCCCAGACACAGAGCAGGTGATGCCAGGGAAGGAAGTCCGGGATCCACAGGGCGGAGAGCAGTGAACAACCTCACCCTGCACACCTTAGACAGGGCGGCTTAAACAAAGACGGTAACGCACACGCACACAACAGCAGGAGGTGCAGACGGCTGGAGGAAGCGCACTTTCAGAGGTTCCGCTGCTCCACACCAGACGTCTCAGCACCACTGACGAGACTGTGACACATAAAGACGTACGTGACAGACCCCACCTTGGCCACTAGAATAATTAGAGGATGGTTAATAAGGCAACAGAGGCGCTTACCATAAGAAAAGTCATTAAGAAAATACTTGGTTAATCCAAAAGAAGACAAAAAAGTCGAGAAAATGAAACAAAGATGAGACAAAAACCAACAGCAAGATGGCAGACTCACCCATCGCCTGACCCCAGTAGTCACATTAAAAGTGAAAACAGTGAGCCCCTCCCACGGCCATGACTGCGCGAAAGGACAGGGACACCACTCCCCTCAGTCTGGTGACAGGAATTCCCGGCAGCATCGCCAAAGCCCAGGTGAGGGACTGTCTCAGATCAGAGAGACGAGCAGAACCCTCTGTGCGCACTGCACACGCTGAGTGCCTTACACACAGGTGACAAACAGGACAGACGGGAGGACAAGAGGGCTCAGAACACTGGTGGAAATGACTAGGCACCAGTCACTCCATAGCCACAAAGGCACCTGTTTTTCAGAGAACATAATCCTGAAGTGTTTTTGCTGCCAACAGAGCATGGAGAACACGAAGCCGAGACAAAGACAAACCCAGGCTGACCGAGCGCCAGTCCCTCTCTGCAGCAGAACACCCCAGGTACGCACGGGCGTGTACCAGACACACAAAACAGGCCTCGCTGAAGTTAAGGGCTCAGGCTGTACAAAGCATGTTCTCAGACAACAGTGTCCTTCAATCAGAAATAGGTAATGGAGAGCTCTGAGGATTTCCCAAGTGTTTGGGAGCTACGCAATACACTCTGAAAGACTGGGCGCCTGCCTGTCCCTGCAGGCTGCGTGGGCTGTCTCAACACGGGACAGTGCAGCCCTCACCCGGAAGCCACACAATTCGGTGTCTCCCCATGCCTTTCAAGCTGCTATCCCTTTGCTGGAGTCAGGGACTCTCATTTTTGCCAGCACCCATGAAACCATGGCTCGCCAACTGGTGTGCTGGCAAATAGGCAAAGGTCTCAGACGCTGCACAGCCCCTGGTAACAGCAGTGCCAGCCACCAGGCAGGTGAGTGACCACAATGACAGTCCTCAGCCTTTGAGTCTTTCAGACGAGGCCATGGATGTTATAGAGGCAGATACAAGACTTCCCAGCTGTGCCCTTTCCAAATCCCATAGATTGGTAAGCATAACAAATGGCTGATTTCCACACATACACCAAATTAAATAACCCCTGGATCAAGGAAGAGATCAGAAGGGGGTTGGAAAGCACGTGGAACTAAATGAAAACGAAAACCCAGAGCAGCAGGGTTTAGGCAACGCTGTGACAGTGGTACTGGGGGGTTATAGCAAGTGGGCACCTGTATTAGAAAGAGACTGACGGTCTCAGCTTCCCTCTGAAGAGTTAGGAAACCCAAAGCAAGCACGAGGAGTAAACAATCAGTGGAAATCAATGAAATAAAAACAACAGAGAAAACACTGAAACCAAAAGTTGGTTCTTTAAGATGACTTTTGCAGACGCCCAGGAAAAGGAGAGAGGGCGCAAACTACCAATATCAAGAATGAGGGGGCACTGTGCATCTAGAAATTCAAAGGCTAACAAGAAATACTATAAACAGCTTTAGGCCGATAGTTTCAAGCAACGCAGATGTGAAACACCCCCAGCTGGATTCTGAGGCCCCATCCCCAGCTGCTTACCCATGAGAAGAGGAAATACACAGCCACGGGCCCACGCAGAAGCTTGCAGTGGCTGTTCGGAAGGCCCGACACCTGGAGCACAGGCGTCTGCGAACAGGTGAGCACATACGCCCACGGTGCCTCAGACCACGAAGGCAGAGACGGCTGACGCGCAGCACGGACAGCTCCCTTACAGAAGACACAGTCCTGCTCCCTTACAGAAGCTCCAGGGGATGCAACCGGCCAGGGAAGCAGCGGAGGCGTGGTGCTTAGGCACAGAGGGGGGGTGATGGATACACCACCTCTCCTGATTATGGTAATGGTTTCATGAGGGCGTAAACGTGGCAAAACTTATCACACTGCACACTTAAAATACGTTGCTCATTACACCTTGACAAAGCTTATTTTAAAAACTAAGAATGTTTTCGTTTCTCTTCATATTGACGTCCATGCCCTGGAGGTGGATTGTTGGGTGAGACAGGCAGAGAGCCCACCGTGTCAGCACCATGTGCTTACAGGGCCCTCTGGTCCTTCCAGTCCGCGCCGAGGCCCTTTCCTGTCTCCATGTGTGTGGGCAGCACCACCGCGGCCAACATCTGAGCAGACAGCACAGTGACATATCTCAGTCCACACACTTCCCCACCTGCGTGACTCAGCGAATTCTTCACAGCTTCCCCCAACCAGGGTCCACTCAGAGCCACACGCATCACATGAAGTCTAGACGGCCCTTTAACCTTGTACCACTCACATTTCTGGAGTTCAGGCAATTCTGCAGAACAATCCTCAATCTGGATTTTGCTGGGTCTGACCACCTGTCAGATGCTACCTGCCAGACACCAAAAGCTCCTTCTCTCTTACTAAGTCCTCATGGATGAAGCTCCCAGGGCAGTGTCAGGCCCCGTTCCCCTGAAGTTGTTTGCATGCATCGGCGATTACACCTGAACCCATCAACAAAGGGGTAGCTCCCCAATGGATTGCTTGTCTTCATTTTTCTGTGGAGCTTAACTGTGTGGGCACACTATGGGTTCACGAATGCCCCTCCCTTCTTCCATGGGCTGTAATTCATGGTTCATTCTGAGGTTCCAGTTATCTCAAGTTTGGCCAACAGATGTCCCTCCAAGCTCACTCCTGTGTGCTATGGGCCACATCCAGATCCAAACGGCCTCACCTCCTGCCCACCCCACCCTGTAATCAGCCACCTCCCCCAGCAGCCTGGGCTCCTTGTGGGAATGACATTAAGAAGCTGTTATCTGGATGCTATGTGCTCTCCACTTCGGGCTGCCACTCCTTCCGGATGCTGTGAGTTTTGACGTTTGGAGTGTTTTGGCCAGGCTTGGCCCTTGGCTGTTCTGGGAGTTCTCCAGTCAGTTTGTTATGCTGAAAGAAACACCCTGCTGGGTGTGGACCAGAATCCCACTGGATCGAGGAGCGTTGGGAGAACAGACCGAGTCCTCTGCTCAAGGAGCACAGTGCCTCAGCCTGCAAGTCGTCTTTGGTACCCTCCAATAGCTTTACGTTTTCCTGCATACAGGTCTTACCTGGCTTAGGATTTATTCCTAGTCAATTTATGGTTTGTATTTGGTTACTGTAAACTATTTTAAAAATTACTTGTGTTTCTGGACTTCTCTGGGGCCAGCAGCTGCCTGACCAGGGCCCTGGGGCTCAGTGGACTGTGGGCTCTGCACGCACCCAGCCGTTTGCAGGTGGCTATGACAAGGCGCCGGGAGCTGCAGCTGCTGCACGGGGCTGGCATCCATAAGTGGGTCACCATGCACACGAGATTAGGCTTCCTGTCTGCGTCTGCTGTGCCACGGCCACAACTGACCCCCCCAATGCACTTTGATCCTCAGTAGGCTGCACAGAGGGCTCTGGAGCCCAAAGGAGGGCAAGGCAATGGAGTTGAGCTTTCAGAAGTCCGCCAAAGGCCTGGAGTATCTCCAGCCACTGGCCCTGGTAGGTGTTCTGTCCTGGGAGTGAGGTGTCCAAGGGGGAGAAGATGAAGGAAGACAGAGACAGGTGTCACAGCTGTGGAGGTCTAGACCATCCTGCAAAGGAACCAAGCTGCCACCCCAGTCCCAGAAATGCCCCTTCTGCTAGAGCATCAGACACGTGGTGGCCCAGCTCACAGGGAAAGCCAAGCCAGACTGCTTCCAGGGAGACACAGCCCTGCCCTACAAGGAGAACCAACAGTGGAGTTTCAAGGAGCGTGGACAGAGAAAGGGAGGACACTGCCATCAGGCCGGAATCCACAGCATTACCCTTCTTCCCTCCTGGAGGGGAGGGAGAGGCACTCCAACCATTCTCTGTGCAGTGTACTCAAGGCCTTTGGGGGAACCCCTTCAAAACCTGCATGCTGTATGGGACTCTCTACTCCCAGAACCTCCAGCTTTTCAAAGTGGCCTGGATAGGGAAGCTGTTTTCCTTTTAAAGAATGTGTAATGATGACATTTCCTGTGTCAGTGAAGAGACTAAGTACAAGAGCAGTTTGATCGTCCCAACCACAAGCCCCTCCGTTCTGTGGGAGGGATGGTCTTGGGTGAGGCAGGGTTTTCCAGTGCTTGTCTCCTCAGAGCCCACTTCTGGGGTCGGGTGCTCATCTGTCCTGGGCAGTGGGTTAGGATGAGGCAAAACGGGGTGGCTGGGGTCGAGCTGCAGGTGTGCTGTTCCTTCACTAGCTAGCACACACCCCACTGGATGCCATTCACTGGGACAACTGCTCCGTGGGTCCCAGTTCCTGGGCCCATGGCGCTAGCTGTGTGCATGACTCATCCTGTGCATTTTAACTTTTTTCCTGATATAAATATTCTGATGTTGTGTTCCTGTGCTGCTAGTTCTGGGGCCCATGAGAAATGTCAGGGCTGAGTCGGCTGCCGAAGGGGCCTGCACAGCAGGAACATGTTCTGTCACCATGGAGACCACCTATCTGAGTGCACAGCCTGCCCAACCACCTCACTTTGCCAATCAGAACTGGCTTCTTGGCCAGTGTCCTCAAGAAAGCCCCAAACTTTCAATGCAAACAGGAGGTTTTAACTGGGGCCCCAGGCTGTGATCTCCTGGAAGACTGGGAATGAGTGTGAACAGGAAGAGGTTGGCAAGGGTGTTTACAGGTGAGGAAGGATTCCTGTTCTAGGCCTCCAATCCCAGGAGAGACCCGCTCACCCACCAGGTCCTTTCTGGATTGGCCAGGCCTCCTGGCACCACAGGACTCATGTGTGTCTGTAGAAAATGTGAGGTCACCAGGATGTTAAGGATACCTCTGCACCCACCCCAAGCTGCCAGGGTGGCTATAGGAAGCAAGGACCCTAATCCTTAACCTTTAATGTGAGCTGCCCTGCCTCAGCTCCATGGTGCCTGAACAGCAGTGGGCAGTGTCCTGGAAGCTAAGGAGGCTCACGTGTCAAACTGGGGTCCGTGCAACAGGGCACACTGGGCAACGTGTCTGATCCTGCATTCTCACCGCCCCAACCTCGCCGCCTAGTCACTGTTGCGGCTCCTGGGCTTCGTGTCACTGATTTAGTGAATGGCCACTAGGCAGCCCAGCAGGTGTAAATATAATGTATTATGTTCCTTCGTGCACTTCTAGGGCTTTGTTGTTTACCAGCTTCTTCTTCTATTGGGAGAATCGCCAGAGCATCTGTGACAAAAGGTTCATACCAGCAAACGGTCTGAAACACAGGCTGCAGCAAGGTCCTGAGCCATCCTTTCTTCCTTTTGTCCTGTTTCCCCATTTTTTTTTTTTTTAAATTTTTTTACTGTTTTTTTTTTTTTAGAGAGAGAAACATCAACTGGCTGCCTCTTGCATGCCCCCTACCAGGGATCCTGTCGGCAAACCAGACATGTGCCCTGACTGAGAACTGAACCGGCGACCTTCTGATGCCTGGGATGATGCCCAGCCAACCAAGCCACCGGCCAGGGCACTCTTTCCCTATTTTCTATGTAGAGCCAGGTCAATCCTAAAAATTGACTCCTACCCTGCTTCCTCTATTCCTCCCCCCCCCATACCACAAATCTATACATTTAACTCTGGGGTGTCCTAGGTAGACTCTCCGGAGGCCACTGGAGCCCCCAAAAATACCCATTCTTAGAATGCTCCTCAGCCTGTACACAGGCTGCTACGGTGACACCAGATACCTGTGCCAGGCAGATCAGGATCTGAAAACGCACCTGTGCAGCTGGAGGGCCGTGACGGGCCCTGTGCTGGAATAGGGCCGTGGGTGAGGAGAGCGACCTGGTGGTGTATGCCCACATGCCATCAGGATGGAAGTTCTGAACTCTCATGGAGTCCAGACACCAAAACATACCTTGGGGTGAGGGTGGGGTTAAGACCAGGGGTTAAGCCAGGTTTGTGAGAAGTTTCGATATAAACACAGGGACTCAGCATCAATGCAAATACAAATGTTCACAAAGTTTTGGCCACTTAACTTTAAAACAATTGAAAATAAAGCTACCAAAGGTTTCTAAGCAATGACATGAGGTTTTTAAAAACAGATTTCTTGGGGGGTGACAGGGAAACAAACATTTAAAAACAAGCTAAGCAAGGCCATCAGGAGAGACTGGGCTACTCCTTCCTCCTCAAGGGAGTGCTGGGTGGGTGTGCAGGCACTGAGGTGGGAATCGTGGGGGTCTGCTGTAGTCTTCTTGAAATCTACCTGTCATATGCACCTTTTCGTAGTAAAAAGGTCATGACTGACTGAAATAAAATGTGGGAACCGGCCAGGCACCAGAGGAGTGAGAGGTGACATGGGTGAAGCTGTGGCTCCTGAGGGCAGGCCCTGGACTCATACAAAGGGCCCAGTGCCCTCCATCCACAGCCATTAGCCTTGACCAGAGCAGCTATGAACCAAATGCTCTCCACCAAGGGGCCACTGAAGGAGGTCGACAGCCGCTCTGAGAGCAGGATCAGGAGTAGCTGGCCTCTAGGTTCTGCCTGGCAGTCCACTACATTTTGATAAAAACCTGGTGTCTACCCAAGTCCTTCACCAACATTACTTACTTAAATTGATTTCTGCCATTTTGGTTTTTTTATGGCTCTTCCCAACCAGATGTGGGGCACGTGGAAGGTCTGGGGCACATTCCTGACCTCTGGCCACCTTGGAGGGCAGCCTCACCTCTTCCTGGGAACAGACCAATGGCCTGGGAACTACATACACAAGTTCACATCTGTGTCCTTGGAAAGTTCTGTAGCCACCTGTGCCTTGGTTTCCTCATTCATGAGGCTGATGATACCCACTGAAGAGAACTGGTGTGGTGGTAACTGTGCCAGCACATGCAAAAAACACTTCTAACAATCCTTGACACTGACGTGTGTTTACCCAATTCCTCCCCTCGGAATCACCGAGCCGCAGTTCTCCCTGGCCAGGCACAATCCACCACCACCCGAGCACGGGTATGGACAACCTGTAGTAAAAGCCAGACAGTGCGAAGCAGCCCTACGAGCCTCCAGCATGCACCACCTGCAAGGAAACCCAGGACTTCACATAAAAAGAAGAGCCACAAGGTGCTTGTTGTCCCTTGATAGCAACAGAGTGGCCTACAGCACCCACAGGGGATGTCATGTAGAAAGCTGGTGAACAGCAGAGGCCCTGCTCTCTGGGCAAAGCAGATTCCCACGTCCTCTCTGCCGGGCTCAGCACGGTCTTGGTCCATGAGTTCACAGAACACTCCCAGAAGGGTGTGCTCTGCTTTTCTGGACACTGTTCTCTAAAACACAGGTTGTACACCCAGAAAGCTCCCACTGAGTGTGCATCAGAAACTAGGGGAACCCAATCTGTGTGGGAATGGCAGAATCTGGGTACACTTACAGGGTCCCAGAGAAGGGGCATGGGAAGACCAAGAGTAGGTGGCACCCCATCTCCCAGAACAGGCTTCAGATGGGAAGCAATGTTGGTTTGGGCATTGAGCTTTGTCTGGAGACATTTCTGATCCTTCCAACCTGGGCGAGGGGTGCTCCTGCACTGTGCCACGTGCAGAGGGCAGCCCCACGAGGCACAGGGGTGCCCCAGCTTGGGAGTTCTCAGAGCTGCTGCTCCTTTAAGAGCCAACAGGCCTTTAAGTTGGGAGCTTTTATTCCATTCTCAGCACTAGGCCCCTCCCCCATGACGGCTACACCTGAGTCACCTCGTTCTACTGGTCACCACCTTAAAAGCTGTGCCTGACAAACTTCCTTCTGCTGCAGCCACTGGAGGGCAAGCACCCTGGCTGGGTCCTCTGCGCACCTCTCCCTGGGACCACAGGGGCAGAAAGTTTTCATCCGTGAGCCAGTCAACGGCCTCTATGGTCCCATGAAACGCCGGGCGGGAGACAATGACACCCCTGGGGAGGGGCCACGCAGGACGGTTTGTGCTGTGTGTACCAAGTGCTGGTTTCCAGCAGCAGACACACCATTTTTGGGAAAATACGACATAGCGCTGCAGGAGGCTATCCTGAGGGAAAGCCCCGCCTCTACTAGCAAGTGCCCCAGTGCTTCTGAGGAGGAAGCAGGGCATCCCTCCTTCCCACACAAGGCTCTGCTCCCAGGTCCTTTTGGGAGCAGTGGTCAGCCCACTCCATGCTGCAGCATCTCCGAGACTCTGAGACCCCCACCCCCATAAAATCCCTTTCTGCTCCATTAGAGAAACAATTTTAAAATCCAGAGAATTCTAAAAGTTAGACTGAGGTCAGAATGGGCACCTTCTGACATCAGACACCCTTAGGCCCAAGGGGAGGTTTGGGGACAGAATTGTGACAGTAATTGAGCTGGAAGGCGCGCAGTAGTTTCACTCAGTAAAGTCTGAAGGGAACCCCCCCAAAGCTAGAGGAAAGCATGGACCGAGCTGGCACAAAGATGACCAGCAGTCCTGGGAAATCAAAATCACACAAAGCCCAGTTCAGATACTGTTACGTGAAATGAGACTAGGGAAGGCAGTGTTTAAGCCAAAAGACTGAACTTCTTTCGAGTGAGGCCTCCTGCAGGCCCGTCTGACAGCATCTGAAAGGACCACTCAGCTCAGTCCAGGGCGTGGGCATTTTCTTCCCTTTCCCAAAACAAACCAGAGACTTTGGTTCAGGATGCATGCCCCCCATCAAACAACCCTGGTTGTCTTTTTTAACAGGTAAAGGCCGTACCTCCTCCCTGCATCATTTTGTAGATTTTGCTCTCAATGTGGAGCTGAGGGTGTTTGGTTTTGACACATTCAAGCTTGATGGCAACTTCTTCTCCTGCAACAATGTCCGTACCTTGCAAAAAAAGAAAAGCACAGCGTTAATTACCTGGTGCCACCACTTAACCCAATGTCACAGTAGCCAGGAACAGGAGCACCATCCGAAACTTCCAGGGACCAAAGGAAGCTCTCCACTTCCACAGATCCCAAGAGGATGACCCTTCCTCCCATTTAAAATGGGCATATACCACATATAGGAAAGTCCAATCTGGTATCCCATCGCCCACCTCTGCACATGCCCACTGAGATCATGTCACTGGGGGACCCAGAGAAGGCCGATGGGGTCTCTTCAGTCTCCCATCTTTCCTGCTCTGAATCTTCCCATCACCCTCCTGGTCAACCCCAAGGTGACTCCACATGTTCCTGTAACACCTTCTGTGTGGTCCCGTGCCCCTGCACTACCAAGATAGGATTGTGGGTACACATGTACCTTTCTCGAGGGAAGGCTGGCTTTCACCAAACACTTTATGACCTCAGTTCACCCAGCCTGGGAACCCAGCCACACACCCCTCTGAACAGTCAGGGTACTTCTAAAATAGGCTCAGCTCCCAGGGCCACAGTGCTCATCGCTAACCCATCATAGACCAGGCCAAGGGACACCGGGGTGGCGGCCCTCAGTAAGCTTCATGCTTCCTAGGCAACAGGACATCATTGTGCGTTTCTTACTGACCCTAGACTGGGAGGGTGAACTCGTTTTCAAAGCCCTGACTACACCTATGTAACACGTACCTGTCACACACTTTTTGTGTTAATTTTGTACTAAAACACAATATGTTTGCTAATACCTCCTAATAATTATCAGCCCATGAGTTTCAAGGTAAAATTAGGAGTTTTTATCTACAAATATTTTATCTTTGGTTTTCTTCCAATACGGACCTGGATACGCGACAACCACCACCCCTCCTGCTTCACACACAAATGCTTCAGAGTTCCAATCTGACCCAAAAGGGCCTGCAAGGCCTTCCTTGAGGAGGTTTAACAGGAGAGAACAGAAAAAGAAGTCTTCCACGGCTCATACCTAGCACTCTGCTGGCTTTCCTCACAGGTGCACTCCTAGGATGAAACACTGGGCTCCTCCTCAGTAGTACAGTTCTTTGTGAACCAAATAACACTGGCTCCAGTGGCCCCGACAGGACCTGAGATACTTCCTTCTACCAGCGCTTGGTGACTCAGTTTCTCTTGCCACCTACATTTGGCCAGGAGATTGGCAGTGTGTTTCACCAGGAAATTGTGGAGGTGAACAGGGTAATGGTTACAAAGCATGCAGAGACTCGAAGACCAAAAGTAGCATTATAACAGTGACCCACCAGCAGGAGAGCTACCTGCTTACATTAACACCCAGTAAATGCCCAAGAAACCCAAAGAAAAGTCTCTTCTCATCTGCTCAGACGGCTGCATGGGATGCTGCCACATCTAGCGAGCCTGAATCCAAAAACCAGTCCCCAGTGTTGGGTTCAGTGGGAATACCCCCATCTGACCACTGCCTGTGGCCCTCTCGGTCTAAGGTTCATTTCCCATCACACAAAGACTCTTAGGCACTCAGAGACAGGCAGGTAATGCATGTCCTTATGTCTGCCTGCAGTAGAGACAATCTATCCAATTACAAGAGAAATGACTTCACCATAAAATTCACTGTGCAAATGAAAAATGAACTCAGAGTTCCTGTGAGGACCTGGAACCCGGAACTGAACTCGCCAGCCCAGGAGGAAAGGATGACTCATCTTACTAGTGACATCAGCAACTCCACACACTCAGCATGGCCACCCTAGCTAGGACGCAGTGAAAAAACAGCCTGGGCCTGCACAGACTACCCACCAGACCAGCGCCTTGGAGAAGGTGGATGAACTTCTAGCTCCACCCACTGGGGCCGATAAAGCTTAACATAGATCACTTACCCTGCAAAATGACAGTCTGTGGGGCACATGACCACAGGCAACTCTGGAACCCATAGGAATTTCCTCCTCCAACCATGGTGCCAGTCCTCCATCAGGATCACACCTGTAACTCAGCCACCTCCCTCAGGATCACTTGCAACAGGACCAGCCTCAGCCAAGATCAGAGACACAGAGATGGCCTCGGTGTAATGACACAAGAAGGGCTACATGGGCTCCCAGCTATACAAACATGAGCGCGGCACATACGGTGGGCTGCCTCCATGGAAACCAACCAGCAGAGGCCACTAGACAGAACTGAGGTCCACCAGTCTGCAGCCCTGCCCCACCTCCCATGGCCTACAGTAGCCTCACACTCCAGGAAGGGACAAACACAGGACAGCGAGGAAGCACCGTGGAGCTCTGATGACAACATGACATTGCTGCACCATTTTAATCTTGTTTTGCAGAACTATCAGTCTGTGACAAATTGCAAAACCTGGTGCTTCATAGCAGGTGACTTTTGGAAGTACTTCAAGATGGAGGAATTTAAGAGAGACCACTGAGCTCTGGTTCCAGACTCGGAACAAGTCAAAGCCTAGTGGCGAGTGTTTCCTCACCGTGTCTGTTTACACTAAGGGGCTTTAGCTCCCACACAGCCTCGCCTTGGGCAGCACTCAGTTTCTGCCAGGCAAAAGTACTCCTCACGAGGCAGACGGAAGTCTATGTTCAGACCCAGGTCAGTGCTGTCCTAGGAGAACAAAACTGTGTCCCTCAAGCTGAGCAGACAAGGCAGATGGCAAATAAGTGAAACTAACCCCAGCAAGCTTGACCCCATGCTGGGACAGGGAGGTACCTCCCATTGAGGAGTGACACCCATGAAGAAACAGGGAGGCCTCCGAACTGCAGGGCAAAGGTCACCCCCAGGGAAAGCGTTGACAAAGCAACTGGTGGTGTCCCGACTTCTCATTAGAGCCCTCAGGCCACCACCCTGAGGGACGCAGGTGAGGACTGGCCAGCCAGCACTCTGGAGCACCTACTGTGTGTTCCACACCCTGGTGAGTGCTGCTGGGGAGCATGAAAGTCAGCAAGGGGAAACATGAAAATCAGATATGAAGAGGTTCCTAAACTTTAGCACCAAAAAAGTGTTTGGGCACGTTGTCAAGTTGACCGCATAGTCCGTCCTGTGATAAACTGACAAGCGACAGGGTCAGGTACCAAAGTCAACAGCTAGCAGAACGAAAACCTCCATTCTGACATCAGGAATGAGAAGGTCCAAGGACCGGCCACCCACTTCCAAGACAGGGTGGAGAACAGCTCCGAGCACAGCTCACACGGTCCCACTCAGCCACGCATCCCGCAGGCACTCTGCAAACACAGCTGAACTTCAGAGCAGCACCTATACTGACCACATACCACCACACAGCCGGTCCCTGCAGGCTGCCCCGCACACACACTCTTCTTCCGGGGGTCCACTGCTCACACTGGGGTTGGGAGCACGGGGTCCATATTGAGGACACTGGCTCTGCCCTTTTTTCAGTTATCAAATGTGTAAGAGGTACCCTGAAAGCAAAGTGACAGGGCTTCAAGTCATCTCCAGCAACCAGGGGCTGAAGCTTGTGAAAGCTAAGACAGGGAGGTCAGGAGTGACATGGCTTCCTTCTTGCAGCACCAGGTGTGGCAACCTCCTGCCATGTGTGCTACACAGGGTACGTGAGCAAGCACTGAGGCCTTCCCAGGCACCTTCAGGATCTGTCAAGCTAAGAGGAGGCAGACTGCGGATCAAGACCACACATTTTGCAGTCCACGGTGACCCAAGTCCAGTACATATACTTTTGAAGCCCAGGCATTGGAGAAACAGCTCCAAGAGACCACCTCCATGAAGTGGAGACTTTGGGAAGCAAGGGATTGACCTGGCAGGGCACACATGGCAAGACCATTTCTAAGCAGCAGGCTACCCGGAAGACAGGCCAATGCTGGGCCTTCCTGGTGCATGAGGCCCTCTTGGAGCTGAAAAACCACCTTTCCCTCCCAATGTCATAGGTACGGAAGCACAGAAAGTCCCAGGTGGACATCCACAACCCCAACACCAGGCTCAAAACAGGGTGAACCTACCTGGTGGAGTCAAGAGCATTCTGACCAATAGCAAAACAATGAACTAAGGCCCAGCCCAGCGTGGCTCAGCAGTTGAGCATCGACCTAGGATCCGGGAGATTGTGGTTCGATTCCGGGTCAGGGCACATGCCTGGATTGCAGGTTCGATTCCTAGCCGGGGGTGTTCAGGAGGCAGTCGATCAATGACGAATCTCTCATCATTGATGTTTCTCTCTCTCTCTCCCCCTTCCTCTCTCTGAAATCGATAAAGATATATTTAAACAAACAAATAAACAAACTCGATGGCCTAATGATGACAGAGGACTACCGATTTTCAGGATGAGGCCTCAATTCCTCCGGCAATGCCTAATCAGTGGCCTAAACAAACAGAAAAAAAACTACGGCACAGATGACTCAATCCATCCTATGCTCTTTGGACCTCATCTTTGACCCCTAACTACAGTATGTGGTGAGCACCCTCAGACCCACCTTTCCAGCCACAACTTACTCCAGCTAATGAGGTCTCTGGGGTAGCACGCAGCCCAAGTTAACGCTGCGGGAAAGAGCCTGGCTGTGCTCAGCCCCACCAAGTAACTCCAAGTGACCCCCGATGGGTGCTGTATGGGTGCTCTGAAGGAGGAGAGAGAGCCACAGTCTACCTACCCCACCCACCTTAGACACATGGACACCTGTCAGCCTGATCTGCACCTAGTGGCTACTGCGCACCCCAGGGAAGGGCAGTGAATAAGCAGACCGGGTTCCCACGGAGTTCCCACTCCCCACGGGAGAACTTACATCTCAGGAAATGACCTGACAACTCTCCCCCCAAGCGACTGTCTGAACCCAGCTTCGGAAACCAAGAGCTGTCTGGCAAAGTCTAAGGCCAGAGAACAAAAAATGTTAAAATATCTCCTCTTGATTCCCGCATAAGGGTGGCTAATGGACTGGCCTCTCAGTCCAGCTCCTAGATCCTAGGTTAAAAGTTTTGCCAAAAACCTGTTCTATAAATAAGGCAAACAGCTTGCCATTTACGCAGCACTTTGCCTCCCAAAACGCTGGTGAGGATGCAACCGACTGACTGCTGGACATAAATATTTAAGTAGTAAAATCCAAATGTCTCCAAAGTGGGGTTCACTCAGCAGGGCAGTAGGCGGAAATACAGGTTCAAAAGCAACCGTGCAGCGTGCAGCAGGGCTACCCCTGGGGTAAGGAAGGAGGCACCGGGCGCAGGTTTGAAGTCCCCACCGGGAGGGGCGGGGTGGGGCGCGGCCGCGTCCTCTCCGGGTGACCCGGCGGCAGGAGGGGCGGGGAGCGCGCGCGGCCAGGCCCCGAAAGGCACGAGCAGCCGCGGCAGGGCTGCCCCGCACGAAG